AATATATTGCCCCCCGCAGTCCGGGTCCTCATTTCACCCACCTCAGAAGGATGGAAGGCTGAGTCAACCTTGAGCCGGTGAGATTTGAACCGCCGAACTGCAGCAGGCAGGCAGCTGAAGTGGCCTGCAGTACTGCACTCTAACCACTGCGCCACCTTGGCAGAGCCAGGATGCCGTGCAGAGCTCACTTCCCTCTCTACCCAAAAGCATGAAAACGGAATGCAAAAAGTTTGGCTGCCTTCATCCACCTCTCGCCTTTAGACTCGCCAGATCTAGGTGCTCATTTTCCTACTGGAGAAATTCCAGAAATCCAGAACACTGAGAAGACAGCTGTGGCACTTTGAAGGCTACTTGCACTGCAGTCCTGCACATGCTGCCTCAAATGTATGTAGCCTTGAGTCCAGCTGTCTCAATTCCTACTAGGAAATGAGTGGCAACCTGCAAGGTTGTGAAATTCTGCCCCATGAGGAATTTTCTGAGATTTTGCAAGGTGGGTCTCAAAGAGAATGAAGTGGGCTTGGCGCATCCAGAGCCACCGCTTCTTCTTTGCAACTGCCGAAGATGGCAGAGCAATGTTGCACCCTGTTCCCAGCCTTCACCCGTGCCTCCACATCATTTTCGGGCTCCCAGCTTGCCAGCCTGCCCCCTCCATCACAGTTACAATGGCGGCAGCTTTGGGAAATGCTGACAGGGGTGGAGGAGTGGGCAAAGGCTGGGAGGGGATGCAACATGCAGGAGGCTCCCCATAGCTCCTTGGCTCCTCTTTTGTCCTCGGGTGTTGCAAAGAAGAAGCAGTGGCTCTGGGTGCGCCATACCTGCTTCATTCTCTTTGAGAGTCAAAATGTCTGAAAATTCCCCAAAAGGTTGGAATTTCACAACCTTGAAGGTCACATGCCCCTGCCACCTAGCCACGCCCACAAAACCAGCGAATAACTGGGCGGGCTTCCAATGTGATGTCTAGCATGGGCAGTAGTGATGAGCGGTAACGGAAGCGAGCCCCGGGGCAGCATCCCTGCTTCCTTCCTCTGAGAGCCGGCTCGGGGACCGGTCAGCCTCCCCCGTCATTGCACCCTTCCCTCGCCATCCATGCGGAGCTTCTGCCATTTTGCCCCATGCACATCCTCTCCCTGCTGGCTGCAGCCCTGCCCTCCTGCCTCGTCACCTGGCCAACCTGCCGGGAAAGCAGTGAGTGAGCGGATGACCAAGACTTGCCTGGCTTGCAACGCTCTGTATGGCAGGGGCAGTGAGGGAAGGGTGCAGCAGCAGGCGAGGCTGTCCGTTCCCCAAGCCACCTCTCAGATGAAAGAGGCAGGGATGCCAGTCCAGGGCTCGCTTCCCTTACCTTTTGCTGCTATCGCCCATGCCGAGTGGAGCATTGGAAGCCAGGCCGGTCCTGCCCACCCACTCGATGCTTTTCCTATCGGCCGCCCAGTTGACCAGATGGGGCCCAAGTTGCAGCCGTCGGGGAGCAGGGCTAGCACGAATGCTGCTTACCTGTGTGTAGGCAGGAGGAGGCAGTTCTGTGGATCTACATGGCGAAGGCAAGGCAGGGAAAGCATCAAAGAGGGCCAATTCGGGGGCGTGGCCAACCAGTGCAATAAAAATTACTCTGCACATGCATAGAAGCAAAAAACAAGATGGCGGTGCCGTAGGAGCTGCTGGTATAACAGTTCAGGGGCATGCCAGGCCAGGGTCGCTGCCAGTTCCAGCAACTCAGGCCGCCAAACCACAACTGGTTCAGGCAAACCAGTAGGAATCCACCCCTGAGTGAGTGGGTATAAAAAAATACTTTATAAAGCTGATGGCACACTGAAGCAATTCTGATACCATTCTGCAACTATGCTTATATTGTATGTGTATTTTTTAAGCTTGAAAATGCACCCCTTTTCTGAACACAAATTAAATAATTAAAATGTTGAATGAATTCTTCTTCAACTTTGTCTGCCCTTGAATAAAAATTACTCATGGGCTTTGATGATCTGACATTATACCTTAAGTATCCTGGAAGGAGAAACATAAACACCAAGCAACACAATCTGTCCCAGCAATCTTCCAAAGGACAACATTCAGTAACTCTCATCCTGCCAGGACTATAAAGCCCTACTATTGCTCTAATTACGGTTCTGACTTTCAGCCAAAAATAGCAGATGGTGTCTATCCTGGTCATATTTTAATTGAATTCATAGAACATACAATAATAGGATTGGAAGAAACTTTAGAAATCTAGTCCAACCTGTTCAAACAGGAGACCCCCTATTAACTTGAACAAAAAGTTGTCCAATCATTCTTGAAAATCTCCATTGACAGAGCACCTACAACTCCAGGAAGTAAGCTGTCCAACTGATAATTGTTCCGTTAGGAATTTTCTCCTAAGTTTCGTCTTCCTTACCTGCCCTTAGGTGCTTTGGAGAATAGATCAACTCCCTTTTCTCCCCTCAAGACTGCTATCCTGTCACCCCTAATTCTTAGGCCACATATATCATACTCAATTTCCTTAACTGCTCATCGTATGAGTTAGCTTTTAGATCAGGGGTGGGTTCCGGCTGGCTTTATTGCTGATATGCTTGTGTGCACGCTTTGCATGCTGCTGCACTCATACACAATTCAATTAAAATTGTTCTGCGCATTTGCAGAACTTAAAAACAAAATGGCGGCACCAAAGGAGAACCAGTTTGGGGGCATGGCAGGCCTGGATCACTGCAGGTTCCAATGACCCACACCACCATACTTCTACCAGTTGCTACTGGTTTGGCCAAACCGGGCCAAACCAGTAGCAACCCACCTCTGTTTTAGATGTCTTATCATCTTTGTTGTTCTTCTCTGCATTCTTTCTAGGGCCCCAGTTTGTTTGTTTGTTTGTTTATTAGATTTATATACCGCTTCATAGGGCTTTCAGCCCTCTCTAAGCGGTTTACAGATTTTTAGCAAATTGAGTCAGCAAATTGCCCCCACAGTCTGGGTCCTCATTTCAAAATACCTACTCTCTCTCTCTCCCTACTTATCTACTGTATTTCTCTCTCTCTCTTGCTCTCTATCGCTCTACCTACAACCTACCTACTCTCTCTCTCTTCCTACCTACTGTATTTCTCTATCTATCTATCTATCTATCTATCTATCTATCTATCTNTATTTGGGGGCGTTTTATATATAAGTGAGGGCGGCGTTTTTTACTCATTGTACTATGCTCCGGTTATGCACAGTAAACATGTGATTGTATAGAATGAAATGGAAATAAAAAAATATTATGTAAAAAAAGAAAGAAAAAAAAAGAAGCTGAATAGTGATGAACGTTGTGTGATACTTAATGTATAGTCTTATTTCTTTCATTGTGGTAGGTTGCTTGCTTGTCTGATGTCAAGCAAAAAAATAGACAAATGTTGCCTTCATTAGACTCCATCGTGATACAAAAAGTAGGAACTACTATTTTGTTTTTAAAAAAACCCTATCCTTAAGGTGAAAATATGAGAAGTAGAAAGGTATAGAAATGTTTTAAGAAAATCTCTTTTGTAATGTTTCGCTATGAGCCGTGGTAGCACAGTGGTTAGAATGCAGCACTGCAGGCTACTTCTGCTGACTGCTGGCTGACTGCAATTTGGCAGTTCGAATCTCTCCAGGCTCAAGGTTGACTCAGCCTTCCATCCTTCCGAGGTGAGCAAAATGAGAATTGGGGGCAATATGCTGATTCTGTAAACTGCTTAGAGAGGGCTGTAAAGCAGTGTATAAGTCTAAGCGCTATTGCTATCAGTAACAATCAACTGTCAATATTTAACTTTTTGTTCGCTTTCTGCCTTACTTTAACAGGATCATTAAACTCATACCTCCAGCACAAATGGCCGAACACTTTGTCCATGAGACGTACTGCCATAAATATTGGGCCATGGAATTGCGAACAATGGGTGCATTGAACTTGTACCGGATCCTCTGCAGTTCTTCTCGCACAAGAACCTATAACAATAGACAGGCAACAGTGTCACAGAACTGTTGAAAGAAAAGGAATATAAATATATATGTCCATTTATTGCAGTAGGAAATTAGGTTTTATTTTTAATGGTTTCTTCTATTCACTATTTGCGGCCTCAACAACTACGCTATTACATTGCTCTAGTGATCCCATTCAAATAAAGAGTGCCTTCTGGGTGTGAAAACATGCACATAGCCAAATGCATGAGAGCAACTATGAATTGATATTATTAAATAAGGTAGTTATGTGGGTGCATCTAGATGTACACACATTACATTTCTGGTCTGTGAGCTGTACTGCCTACTAGTTTGCTGCCCAGATAGGGCTGGGATTTTGGGGGTTCTCCAAACCGGCCATAACATTAGCTACGGGTTCTCCCAAACCCGGACAAACTCGTATAGGGGTGGGTTCCGGCTTTATTGCTGGTTAGTTCAGGGACGTGCTTCGGGCTTGCACGCATTTTGGGCACGTGCACGCTAATATGCGTTATGTGCACATGTGCAATAGTAAAAAACAAGATGGTGGCGCCTATGGAACCGTTTCAGGTGCGTGGGCAGCTGAGTTACTACCTACTTGGCCGAACTGGTCCGAACCGGTAGGAACCCACCTCTGAACCCGTAGCAGCGCGCCCTCCCAACCGATTAGAACTAACCATAACGACCAGGGTGATGTTAGTTGGGCCCAGGGCCTCGAGAGACTCCGGTTCATCCTGAGAGCGCCCGTAGTGGAATGTGGTTCCCGCAATGTCAAAGCGCCGGGGAGGGTCGATCGAAAGTTTCCCGTTGACAAAATATTCATCATTTTCTCCTCTCAGAGCTGGAAGAAGAAGCCAAAAGAAGATGTTTCGAGCTGATGGGCTGTCTGCTAAAACGAAGCAAGAGCATGGCACGCACTTGAAATAAAACCGGGAAGCCCATAAATGTGGAGTCTGTCGGGCAAGAACAAAGAACGCTTATTCACCGAGAATAAGCGCCTGTCACATTTGCATTGATTCTGGGTCATTGATGGCTAATCTTTTTGTTGCCTTGTGCTGAAAGTGTGTGTGTGTGTGTGCGATAGCGCACCTACACCCATAATGCAATGCGTGTGTGATCCGTGACCCATTTTGGGCCTGGAAGGCCTCCTGCACCAACCTGGAAGCAAAACGGCACCTCCCCGTGCACGCCCCCCGCCCCCCGTGCATGTGCAACAGAGACCCAAAGACCAGCTGGCTTGTGGGAGGCGTGCGTGTATGTGCAATGGAACTGGGCTGGGGCAACAGCTGGTGTGCCCACAGAGAGGGCTTTGCGTGCCACCTTTTGCACACGTGCCATAGACTCGCCATCACAGTTCTAGGTGGTAAGAGGACCGATAATAGTATCCGAGAGTTAAATTTATTAATTAATTAATTTATTTATTAATTAGACTTATATACCGCTTCATAGGGCTTTCGGCCCTCTCTAAGCGGTTTACAGATTTTTAGCAAATTGAGTCAGCAA